AACTGGTTCAAGGGTGTGGCAGGCCTGGGTTACGGCTGGTTCCAGTGACCCAGGCTGCCAAACCACTACCAGTTCAGCCAAACCAGTTTGAACCAGTAGGACCCCACCACTGGCCCAAAATGTAAAAGATAGCTACCAGATCAAAGACTACCTGTATAGCAGTAAAACGAGCCTTCCCAAACCTGGGAGTTTTCAGAGATCTCAGGCTTCAGTTCTCATATTCTCAGTCTGGCAATAGGCTTCGATGTTGCAAAAAATCTTAAGTAGCATTCCTGCTCATTAAGAGGCTCAGGAGTTGCTGCAAACAAATTATTGCCTCCCATCAGAGCGAATTTACCTACATAGCAAATGTGCTCTGAATTAGTTTGTGCTCCGAGCTGATTTGAGACTATTCATTAGGGAAGTAATCCAATGTATACATGTACTACAAGGCATGTTAATGTAGGGATGATCAAGGCTGCTTGTAAATACTGACAATCAAAAGCAAACCTTGTGAAAGTTAACAGACACATAAATGCAGCTATTGAGCCCCTGTAGTGAAAGAGAATTTTCCTCTTTTCAGGCATTCCTGAAATTCTCCTAGGATTATCTGCATTTGTATATAAGTGTCAACATTCATCCATTTTTGGAGATTTGCGGTAACATAATATAATGTGGAGGTATTCGATATCTTTTTTTAAAAAAGTGAGAAAGTCAAAATGAAGAAATTGCACATCTGGATTGCATGTGCAGACCGCAAATGCTATAGCAGGAAGCATCTAAGAAGCCAATTAATGATTTGCTGGCAATCTGCACAGTGTGTAAAGAGTCAGAATGAGAAATAGAGATATTTTATTCATTATTGTCTGGCATAGCAAGTGAATCAAGGATAACCTAGGTCAAATTTGGTTCAAAATGAATGATGGGTCATTTGATTTTAGTCCCTAGGAAAAAAGAGAGAAAAAACATCCAAGGAAGGATTATTAAATCTACTCTTGGTCTATCAATTCTGTCAATGAAAAATTCTCTTAATTTTTATTGATTTTCACAATGGTATATTTTATTAAGCTTGATTGTCAATTCTGCTTACAGCATAAAATATGCATCTCCTTCCCGATATAATGATTAGTGCCCATGACAACATTTAAATTATGCAAAAGTTTGTTAATGTGCAAAACTCTGCAAATGAAAGGGAAATGAAACAAAACATTAACTGAAAATTGGTAAAGCAAATGAAGAAAATCTGCCTGCCCAGGTACTGCAAAAACATGTCTGTCTGTCTGTCTGTCTATCATCTATCTATCCATCATTTAGATAGATAACCATTCTTGTACTGATCTAATGAATGCTTGACAC